TTGTGTGTGTGTGTGTGTGTGTGTGTGTGTGTGTGTGTGTGTGTGTGTGTGCAGGAGCTGGCTGTGACCTTGTAGTAACACAGCCCAGGAAGACTTGGTTCTTGACCATCCTTTGCTTTCTGTGAGACTCTGCTGGCCTCCTGCCCCTCCAATCATCAGGAAGGGCATCTGCCTGGTGCTTGGCCTTGGAGCGGCCTCAGACCTGGGCGCACCACACCTGGGGTCTGTTTGCTTCCTGCCCCCGACTCCCCTGCCCCCTGCAATCTTTTCCGAGCTCTGTGGCCAGGGCGGTTCCTACACCTCTGGTTGGGAACTTACTTCCTCATGGGAGTGCTACTTGGAAATGGGTCTCCCAGTGAGTAGCAACTCTCCCTCTGGAGGCTGGTCTAGGTTAGTCATTTTTTAGGTCCAGTGGTGGGGATGCTACTCTTTCACACACGTTAGTTCATCTGATCCTGAACCTCAGCAAGTTTAGGTAACTAGTCCAGGTCACATCTGACCACCCTTCTGGGTAGGAGACATAGGTCAGGGCTGTGCAGGCCAAGGTGGGTGGGAGCATGCTGGTGGTCGTTTGTCATCCTGACAGCCTGGGGCCAGAGAGAGCCAGAGAGGCCCTTGTCCATCACTAGGCCAAATCCCCTTTCCTCCCATTTTATGAATGAGGAGACTGAGGCAGGGAGGGTAAGAGCTGGGATTAAAACCCAAGTATTTTAGTTTCTTATTGCTGCTGTAACAAATTACTGCAAATTTAATGGCTTAAAACAACACAAATTTATTATCTTATAATTCTACAGGTGAGAAGCCCAAGATCAGTCTCATTGGGCTGGTTCCTTTTGGAGGTTCTAGGGGAGAATCTGTTTCCTCGCTTTTTCCAGTTTCTGGAGGCTACCTGCATTCCCTGGCTGTGGCCCCTTCCTCCATCTTCAAAGTCAGCAGTATAGCATCTTGAAATCTCTCACTTCTCTCTTCATTCTGCTTCAGTTTATCACATCTTCTCTACGACCCTGTGGCTTCCCTCTCATAAGGACCCTTGTGATTACACTGGGCCCACCTGGACAATCCAGGATAATTGCCTCATCTCAAGGTCCTTAATCACACCTGCAACGTCCCTTTGCCATGGAAGGTAACATATTCACTGGTTCTGGGGAACAGGACCTGGACATCTTTGGGGGGCCATTATTCAGCTTACTACACTAAGTCTATCTGATACCCAAGGCCATGCTTTTTCCATAATACCAAAGATTTGTAAGATCACCGAATAGAAGTGGCAGGTTTGGGGATGGGCCCCAGGCCACTGAATTGTCTTGAAGGGCTGGTCACCAGACAATGGAATCGGGTCCAGGGGAGGTTTAAAACAAAAGGGTTTTAATTTTCTCAGTCTCTCTCTCTCTCCTTGGCCTCATTTGCTCTCTGAGGAGGGGCCTGGAGATGTTAAACCAAAGTTTAACAAACTGGTACACACAATTTAACCCCCCCTCCCATGTGATTCTCCTATTGCTTTTGGTTACCTGTGATTTAACCACCTCACTCATTCTGGATATCTTAATCCTCGGCTCTTGGGAACCCCGTCATGTCTGTGAACTGCCTTCCACCCCAGTGTCTCCAGGGTGGTCCAAGATCATGGGGGGAGAGCGCTGGCAGGTTGCCTGGATCCATTCCCCTACCTGCCCTCTCGCAGGTGGGTCAGCCCTGCTTCTCCAATGCCAGCTTCCTCCCCCCATTGGACCACTGCTTCTCTTGAACTGTCGGATTTAGTGTTAATCGCATTATTCCCACTTTCTGGGCCCTCAGGGGAGTGAGTGCCTTAGTGAGAACCTGCTTTCTCTGCCTGCTAGGGTGACTTGCTTTGGGGACAATGCAGGGGCAGAGGGAGGAGAGGGGATGCTGGAGATTTGTGGTGGGTGCTTTGAGTTAGGATAGGCTGATGGGGGATGGGGTCCTGAGGCCCAGAGAAGGAAAGGGCCTGGCTCAAGGTCACAGGAGTCAGGCTGGTGGCGATGCGTAGTTGTGGTCTCGCTGAGGCTGTGATCACAGGGCCTGAGGCCCTGCAGACCTGGGATTCCTTGGAGAGATGCTGAGCAGGCACAGCTGGGCTGCAACCCTGGGGGCAAAGGCATGCCCCGCCCCCTCCCTGCTCAGAAGCACCAGGCCTGCCCCAGGCAATTGGTCCTACTTGAGAGAGTTCACCTGGGCTTGGGGAGGGGCGCTGGGAGGTCGAGCAGAGCAGAGCCCGGACAGAGGATTTGCTCTCAGATGATAACGCTGCCTGTGCTTTCATTGCTCATGCCCCCAGCCTAGTCAGTCTTTGGGGGACACCGATGACGCCTGAGCGTGAGTATGGGTGCCCTTGGGGTGTGCATGTGGGACCCCTGAGTGTGTGAGCTCTGAGTGAGGGGCACAGTGTGTGAGCAATGAAGCCATCTGAGCCAATGCATACAGACCTCAGGTGGGGTGAGCTGCGTGATGGTGCGCCCGAGGGTCTCTCTAGGAAGTTGGTCTGAGAGACCCCTGTGTGTATACGTGGGTGGGCTTGGCTGGTGCAAGCCAGTGGGTGTTCTGACGGGAGGCTCTGGACGGCCGTGCTTGGTATCAGCCCTCGTTCCTCCCTCCCTTGGGTGATTCTGCTGCTCACGTGGGGCAGGTGCTGTGGGTGCCCTGTCTGGAGGCCGTGCTTGGTATCAGCCCTCGTTCCTCCCTCCCTCGGGTGATTCTGCTGCTCACGTGGGGCAGGTGCTGTGGGTGCCCTGTCTGGAGGCCGTGCTTGGTATCAACCCTCGTTCCTCCCTCCCTCGGGTGATTCTGCTGCTTACGTGTGGCAGGTGCTGTGGGTGCCCTGTCTGGAGGCCGTGCTTACTCGTCCGGCCGCACCTTGTGCTGACCATGGCGGTGGCCTCATTAGCAAGCAGCTGCAGCTTCCCTGTCCGAAGACTTTCTTTGGCCAGAGGTGCCTGCTCAGCGCACAAGGGGCAGGGATTAACATTCATTGAAGAGCAGCCTCAGACAATGACCCTTGAGAGTCTGAGAGCCGCGTGTACGTCATCCATTTCCCTCCCTGTTAGCTGACTAACTTTAAGGCAAGCTCCTCGGAGTTGCCAAGGGGATGGAGCTCAGTTGCCCACAGTGGTGACCAGCATGATGACACCCTGCACGGGCTTCCTTCCTTTCCTGGTTTCACTGCCCACTCTGTGGTGGTACTCCCGGGGTCACTTCCTCATCAGCCCCTTGCGTCCACATCCTGTCCCAGGGCCTGGTCCTGCCCCTCCTCCCGTTCCCACCGTCCTGGGAATTTGACTTCGCTTCCCATCTCCTTGGGGCCCAGGGTGCTCTCCTTGGCCTGACCCCTCAGGCCCCTGGCAGAGGGAGGCAGCCAGTCTCCTTGTAGGAGTGTGCACAAGGACCTTGGATGTGGCACCATATGTGGACACAAGGCACGTTGTGGATGGAGGAGGTGGAAAACACCGAGCTTGATAGTGCCTTGGGCCAGGGGGATCCGGAGTGTATTTGCTGTTGGAACTGGGTGTCAGCGTGGTGTGGTTCTGATTGGGGTCACCACGGGCACCATGTGGCCTGGGCACCGTCACCATGAAGGCTGCTACATTCATTCCCAGGAGCAGGGGTCTCAGAGCACAGAGGTGGCACCTGAGCCGTACACAGTGGTGTCTAGAAGGACAGGGGGGTGATTATTTTGCACACAGCAAGGGGCATTTAGGTGTCTGGCTGTGGCCAGAGAGATGTGGAGGCAGGAGTGATTCCTGAAAATGGGGTACTTGAATGATTTAAACCTCATGGAACATCCCAAGGGTGGAGGACAAGCCCAGAACCAAAACAAGTTCTGTCTTCAATAATGAGTGTCCGCCGGCAGTGGGTTAGAAAGTGGAAGAAGGGAGTTTCAGGGGCTGACTCATTTGCTTTGAACAGTGATGGGAGACAGCCAGCAGGTGGCAGTGTGGGCTTGCAGTGGGGCTGGTGGGACAGGGCTGTACCTTACTTCAGGATCGCCCCCCACTTTTAGGGCACTTGGGGGTCTAGGACTATGCTAGTGGACTCTGCCTGAATTCGCGTGGGAGGGAATAGTGACAGAAGAAGGGAACCGGTCTCTGTCCCCAAGGGATCAACGACCAAAGCCAAGGTCTTATGGAAAGCAGAGGCAGGAAGAGAATTTCTGCAGAGGGGGAGAAAACAACTCATTTCAGTCTAATTACCCGCCCACCCCTTCCTGGTAGTCAAAGCCATCAGGGTGTGGAGAGCCAACTGCTGTCAAAGTGCAGTCCCTGGTGTTCCTGGAGTCTTGAAGTTTATGGCCTGAAGTTTATGGCCTGTCTTGGTGGCAGTTACACTGGCCAAGTCTTGGAGAAATGATGCCATGTTTTAGAGAGGTTAAAAAAAAATTAACTCGTGTAAGTCACTAGCTTCGCGAATATCCGTGTCACCAGGAGAATGAAAAGGCTTCAATGGCTGCTGATTTTGAGATAAGTAACACATTTTCCGTTTGCTGCTATTTACCATTTCCCTTCCTTACAAGTTTCAGATGGTGCCAGCCCCACCAGGGGCTCCTTGATCGTATTACTTCTTGCAACGTTTGTTACTGATATATTTATTTTGAACACAGAAAAGATACATTGTTGCTTATTTAGCGCTTAATCCAGGAACAAGAAAAGCTGTTCAGCTCCATCCCTCAAACACTGATGAGCATGTGGGGATTTTTATCTTTTCCGCGCCCACCCCCCTCCCCCCCAGCACTCTCTAGGGTTGCAGAAGCAGGATGCGTTTCTTAAAAGAGCCTCATCCCTGGAGTGCATTTAAAGGCTATACAGTACAACAGACAGATATTTTTTGCCTAGAAAACAGTACACCACAAAGGTGGACAGAACTGCTTGTAAACAAGGTCCCTCCCTGGGGCGGAGTCAGGGGCTCCAGGATGCTACAGAACCTCTGGGTGGATTCCTTTCAGTTCTGCACCAGAAGAAATTCTGTTTCTACAGAAAATAAAATTCACGATTGCCTTCCTTGCCGCCCCTCTTCAGAAAGGGATTACTAAATTGTCTTAGCCCTTTGTTGGAGGAATTGAAACGTGGGGGAGAGGATGGTTGGAGGTGCTCTTGTTTAAGGAGGGGGTGAGGAGGGAGGTAGGGTGGATTTGAGAACTCTCTACCGCTGGTGACGCCGGCAGGGACGCTCTTCACAGATGCTGGGCTGCCGCCCTCTGGCAGGCTGGGTCTTCAGGAATTAGCTCTGTTACTTGCATGGTCTCTGATGGAAATTGCTGGGATTCAGGGGCCAAGATCTGAGTCTCTACCACCAGGCCCACATATCCCCTTCCGTGGTACCCCCGGCAGCAAGGCCAAAATGTAGCCACTGGTGCTTTTGCAGTGGCATAGTGGGGCCCACATCCCCTTCATTTCGTCTCCTCAAACACCATGGAGGGCAGGACCAGAATGCGTTGGCTCACAATTCCCCACTATGCGCCACCGCCCAGGAGCACAGCACTGCTTCTGGGGTCTGACTCCAGCCCACTCAAGCTTAGGCCGTAATGGTTGGCTGGGCATGTACTTAGCGAGGGGCTGCTCCTCTCCTCAGAAGTGTACCCGGCAGCCCTCCATCTTCTTTGAAGACCCTCAGTCCTGGGCAGTGGTTGGACTGACGTGGGCACAGCTGTGACCCACTACCACCACCGCATGCCCACCAAGGGCCCTGCCCATCACCCGTGGCTTGGGGTGGGGGCTTCGGAGATGATTCCGCTAGCACCACCAGACTGAGGGCACTGGGCGAGGGATGGGCAAGGCGGGCTGCGAGGGTCTCCAGGTTGTGCCTGAGCCCCCAGACCCGGGTCCCTTACCCTATAAGTGGCAGGGTGTTGACGTTGTGGCTCTTCTGCCCTGGGGTTGGGAGATGGGGACATTGCGGAGCTGAGCCTCACTGAGGCCTGTCCTGCCAGCCGGGAGGGCCAGCTGCTCTGGGGTGGGGTCGGGGCAGGCAGCTACCTGGGACGGTTGAGCAGTTTTTGGAGGCAGAATCAGCGTTTGGGCACAGCCTGCCTGGTGCGGGCAGGGCAGACAGGCCGGTGGAGAGGGCGGGATGAGCCCTGGTCCCTTCTCCACCTCTCTTCTCCCTGCATTGGCTACAGAGGCATCACTGACAGGCTGGGGAGGAGACTGGGAGGTCGGGAGAGCTTCCTTTATAATGAAACCTTCGCAGATGGGATTGTGTGTGTGTGTGTGTGGGGGCCTATGTGTGTGCATGTCTGCACACGTGTGGGGCGTCTGGATGTGTGCGTGCACATGGGTGCATCAGTGTGTGCGTGTGTCCAAGTTGTGTGTACATGTGGGAGTGCCATGTGTGCACATCTGTGTGCGCTTCTGTGTGTGTGTGTGTGTGTGTGCGTGCGTGTGTGCGTGTGTGCGCGTGCGCGCCCCTGCGTGCCTGAAAGGTGTGGCCCAGCTCTGAGGGGCTGGCAGGACCGGCCGCTGGGTCCCTCACATAATCCTCTCTGGGCCTGAGGCTGGGGCCCGGGTTGGGGTGGGCGAGTCCTGGGAGCTCCTCGGCCCTGGTTCTGGTCCCGGCAGTGGCAGCAGGCCCGATGGAGGGGGACTGGCCCCACACACGGCCTCATAAGGCGGCAGGGTGTCCACGGAAATGGTGCGGAAGCCACTCTGGCCCTGCGGTCTCTGTGCCTGCTGGTGTTGGCCAGGGCTGCGGCCACTGTCCGCATCCAGGGCGCGGTCCAGCGTAGGGCAGGAGTCGGTCAGCGAGTAGGGGGGTGGGGCGTCTGTGGGGACGTACAGCTGAGTGGCCCCCGGCCCCACACACTCCTCGTAACTGCAAGAGAAGAGGCTCCCTCAGGGCCCTGTGCAAGCCGGCCTCAGTGGTGGGTGGCGGGGTCGCCCCTGAGGGCCGGGGGCCTAGCCGCAGCGACAAGCTGCCCCGGCATGGACCAGGTCAGGCCTTTGTCACACTGAATCCGATGAAACCCCTCTACTCCCTGGGGAGGGGCACCCCAGAACCACCGAGACCTGGATTCTGGCCCTGACTCAGCCCCAGTGTTCCGTGTGAACGTGAGTGAGCGAGCCACCAAATTCTGGGTCTCAGATCGCTCAGAACTGTAGCCGCTGCTGCTGGAGCATCTGCAGGCTGGCCACCGAGCGTGGGTGGTGCTGGTGGGAGCAGCCTCAGGCTGCCAGACACTTCTGGGTCTCAACTCACCCCAAAGTGGCCCTTCCAGGGTTAGGAAGGTGTCCCTGGGGCCCATGGTTGCAGGGTGAAAAAGCACCCACCTGTAGGCAAAGTTCATACCTCCCAGTGCCCCTGGGGGCAGAGGGTAAAGGGTGATGGAGAGGATGGGTCTGTTTGTGGGGCCCAGGTGGTCTCCTGGTGGGGAAGTGATAGAGGCCCAGACCCCTCTTTTCATGTACAAACTGGTGGCGCTATGCCTGAGGGTGGCTGGCAGGACAGGATAGGACTCAAAGGCTCCCCAGGGAAGAATCCCCCCCATGGGACAGGGCCACCTGCTGGCCACGAGTGCAGTCTGGACACAATGATGCCTATCCCAGTGGATGTGATTTGGGCTTTGGGGGCACAAACTAAGGGGCTGGGGCCTGGACCTTCCACCTCACCTCTTCACCCAGCCTGAAGGAGCTGAACGTTTCTTCCTTTTTCCTTTTCGAGTGTCTCTCAGGGACATCTGCTTAGTCACGCCCCACCTTACAGGGACCAGCTTGGTCAGGAGGGTGAGGAGATGTTTTCTGCCTTTATGCCATCTGGGGTGTTGCTGTTTCCCATGGGGGCTGGAGATTCTTGCCCAGAGCCCTGCCCTCTCAGGCCTCCTTACCCTGGTGGAGAATCTGGGTACAGCTCTCGGAGCACCGTGGCATCCACGTCCCCATCAGAGCTGAGGTCCAAGGGTGGAGGCCAGTCCTCGGCAGGGCCGCAGGTGTAGCGTGTCCTGTGGCTCGAGCGGCTATACGTGTGCCTGTCGGACACTGCAGGGAACGGACATTCAGCCTGGGCCTCAGGCTGGTGCCAGGGAGGGTCCTCACATGTCTGCCTGAGGCCACTGAGATTCTGTTCTCTCCAACTCACCATCCTGCCCCTTACCAACCAGGGCTGCTTTCATTCCATCAGCAACAGCCCCAGAATGTGAGCACCAGTGCCCTGCTGGGCATGGGGGTCACAGGGAGCAGAGCTGGCCCTGCCCTGGTGGGGCTCCCAGGGTAGTGAGCAGCCTGTCCTGCGGACAGCCTGGTAGTGGGCAACATGTCACAAGCTTTGATAGATGTTGTACTGGGGCTGTGGGAGCAGAGACGGGCCTGACCCAGCTTGGAGGTCAGGGAAGGCTTCCTGGGGGGAAGGGCTCCCAGAGCTGAATCTTGTCTAGAAATCAGCCCGGGGAAGAGGGGCAGGCCTGGCAGAGGGAACAGAACAGCTTGAGCCAAGAGGGGGAGTTGTGAAAGAAGACTGTAGTGTGAACGGGAAGCTTTGAGCTGTGGAGAAGGGCTGGGGCACAAAAAATGGGGAGGAAGTGTCAGGGAATGAGGACAACGGTGGTCTCTGAGGTCAGGCCTCCGTCCCTTTAGGTATCCCAGGGAGAAAGGGGGTTTCTCTGATGACTACATATACTACACTCTCTTCTGGTTTTTTTTGTTCTTGTTTTTGTTTTTATCACATAGTACATCAAAGGCTCTGAAATGTCCCACAGCTGAGAAACACATTTAACTGTGCTTGTGCAGCATTTGGCCACGGAATCTTATTTTCTGAGACCTAGTAACACTGCTTAGGAAATGCCGATGGAGTACAATCTTCTCATTCTACAGCTGGGGTTCAGAGAGGCTCAGTGTCTTGCTGGAGGCCACACAGCAAATTATTAGTTGGGCCGAGGGTGGCTGGATGTCCCAGCTCCTCCGCCTCCCAGTTTCTGACAGGTCTGGTAGAGGGGTGGGCCGAGGGGGGGCGCGGACAGTGGGAACTGCAAAGATAACTGGTTGAGACACGAGGTCTCCTCACCTCCAACGGGCTCCCAGGTGGCTCAGAGGGCAGGGCGTAACATCAGGGGCGGGGCTTGTCTGTCTGGGGTGGGGCTCATGACCTTTCTTTGAGGTCAGCAGTACTGTTGCAGTTGCCCTTTCCATTCTACAGCCAGAGGCTCAGGGTCGCATTGCTAGAATGTGGAGCTGGAATTCATGCATAGTCTGTAGACCCCAAAGATTGCTCTTTCTACTCCCCAAATCTCTTTTTCTCACGTCGATACAACAATGAATGGAAAAAATCTGGATATGAAACTCTATCTGCTGGTGCAGTCCCAGGGTTATCTATGGACCTCGAGAAAGCTCTCGGAAGAAAATATTCCAAACAGTAACAGCGGCTCTGTCTGCAGGACAGGATCAGAACCCTTATTTTCTTCTTTATATTTTCTGTATTTTAAAGGTTTTCCACAGTGAACACATATTACTTTTCTACTAGGAAAAAGGAACCCAATAACATATGCTGTAAGAAGGAGCTGAAATGAGATTTGTTTCCTTTTAGGGCACCAGCTGAAGGATGAGAATTTTGGGAAGAAATTGGGGAAGAAACTCAGGAGAGAGGAAAACATGAAATAAGTGCGTGAGGACAAAAGTGGAACTGAGGCCACTGGGCTCTGGTGCCGGGATCCCGTCCCTACCAGCGTTGCTGTGGGGAGGGCCCCACTCGCAGTGCCAGTGGCGGGGGGCGCTATGGCTGTCCAGACCTCGGGAAGGTAAGGCTATTTCCTGGTGGGCAGCTCTGAGAGCTGACCGGGCCAAACCACTCTGCTGTTCACCTCTCTCCCTGGGTTGCTTTTCTTGGGCCCCCCAGAGGCTGAGCGTCTCAGGGAGACTGAGGCTTCCCTGAGGCACTCACCTAGCCCAGACCCCAGTCCTGAGATGACCCAGGTCAATCCCAGACATCCAGCTGGGTGGAGGTCCTGAGGAACAGCTGGGAAGAACCCCCTCCCCCCCCACACACCCTATTTGAACTCCCCAAATTCCTTTCTTATCTCCTTTCCTTTCCTGTCTTCAACATCAGCACAGACCCAAATGGTCCAGGGAGGCCCAAATCTCCCTCTTCCCTTATTTACCCAAGTTAAGATATACTTCGGTTCATTATTCAGCCCAAATCCGAGGTTAACAACTTTGACAGGCCCGGGAGAGGGGGGAGGAGGAATCTGCATCCATGAGCACCTCTGTGCTCTAGCCTCACGATCTCATTCACCCTCAACAATTTGTGAGAGGGGGAAAGTGGCTACTCCCTTCTCTCAGATGACAAATCGGATATAAAGCCACTTGCTCTAAAGCCCAGGCAAGTGAAAGGGGAGGGGACCAGATCTGTCTCCTAAAGCTCAAGGTATTTCCATCTTATGGAAGGAGAATTTCCCTCCCTCCCTCCCTCCCTCCCTTCCTCGGTCTTTCTGTCTGTCTCACTCACTCACTCCTTCATTCATTCTCAAACATTCGTTGGCTCCTCTCTCTGCACCTGACCAGCCTACAGAAGGGCCCTGTGGGCAGACAGAGGAGGACCAACTTTGTCCTGAGGGCAGTGGGGAGCCACTGAGCAGTGTTGAGTAGAGCCACAATTCAGTCATGTTGGCTGTCTTGTGGAGAATGCCTTGGAGGTGCCAGGCCGGTGGCTGGCAGGTGTGGAGGTTGCAGCATTAGTGAAGTGGCCCTGGAGTAGGTATTCTCGGGGTGGTAGGGAGAGATCATGAAAATAGTTAACATTTACTGAGCACTTACTCATAAGCCAGGTACTGTGCTAATTTAGTCCTGACAATAACTTTTTGGGGTGGGTCCCCGTGTACCCATTGTACAGATGACTCACAGAGGTTAAGCAACTTTCCTGAGGTTGTGCAGTAAGAAGCGGAAGATTAAGGCTGTTTTGGACCCCCTGGGTCTGAGGTGCCTCTGAGACTTCAGGGGGCGGTGTCTCGGGGACGTCTGGGTGAGGGTGGTGGGTGGTGCCTGGAGCTGTCAGGTGGATGAGATGGCCATGGGTACAGATGGGGTGGGTACAGAGAGAGAGGACCCAGGGCCCAGGGTTGGGCTCTGAGGGACCTTAATATTCCTCTCCTCAGAGAATAGGAATCCACCAGGAAGTCTGAGAAGGAGTGGCCAGAGCGGTGGGAGGGAGCCCGGGAGGGGCTGAGTCACTAGAGCCGGGGGAGGGCATCTGAAGGACAGAGGGTCCCCAGGGCCAGTAGGATGGTGTTTGTTGGTGCTCTGCTGCTTTCAGGTCCCCTCTTCCCTGGCTTCTTTCCAAGGCTCCTTGCAGCCCCTGTGCACCCCCTGAAGGCTAGAAGGTGGTGTAGGGGCATCAGCACCTCCAGGCTCCCTGCTGAGTCCCCAAGGAGGTGCCAAAGCCAGAGCTGAGAATAGAAGTGGGCAGAGAGGCGGGAGCCCCACAGAGGGGTCTCCACGGTAACAGGGCTGCAGGGCTGCTGTGAGTCATCGGAGCGGGGGCTGGGTAAGCAAAGGCTTGACCCCAGACTTGGCCTGGCTGTGGCCTGCTGTCACCCCACCTGCTCTGATGTCAGGGACAGGGCCTTGCTCATGTGGCACAGGCCCTGTGGCTCCACCACAGACTCAGGATGGACTAGCCTGCCCCTAGGTCCATCTGTCTCCTCAAGGCCAAGGTTGACCCCTCAACCTTAATGTAGGGAACCCCTGTGGGCATCTCTCCTAGGCTCTAAGTACGAGGCGCAGGCTCGGGGGCACTCAGGCCATTCAACAAGTCCCTCCAGCTTCCCAGTCTTTAAAATGGGCTAACACAGATCTTGCTGTGAGGATGAAATGAAGTGGTTCCTTCCCTTGCCTGCGGAGTACTTCTTCTGGGCCAGGTCCTGTTCTGGGCTGTGAGCTCAACTCTCGGAGAGCTACATGCAGCTCCTGCTTTCACCGGTGCAGCACAGCCATCCTATGTCGGGGTACTGCTGGGAGTGTGGGTATGATGCTAAGGAAGTACAGGGAATGGGGGTCAACCCTGCCTGGGGGGTGGTTGAGGAGGGGCCAGAGAAACTTGCAAAAGGAGGTGGTATTTGAGCCAGGTCTGGAAGGACAAGTAGGCTTTTGTCAGGTGGGGAAGTATGGGGAATGGCATTGTGGGCACGGGGAAGAGCATATGCAAAGGTGCAGAGGCAGAAAGCAGCATGGAAGAGGTGCCTGGGGAGGGGCAGGAGTGGAGAGCACGGGTCCAGTTATGTGAGGTGGGCGTGCTGGCCATCCTGCGGTGGCGGGAGGTCGAGGGTGGTACCTGGGCTCCTGGTTGGGGGTGGGCCTGCTCTGAGCAGGAGCCCTGTACTCTCCGGGGGGTCAGGCTGGTGATACAAGGGTAGGAACAGGCAGGCCTGGTCTCACAGTGGCCAGGGCTGGGGAGGGAGCACCACACCCTCCCTTTGACCTTCAGCCTCACCCTTGGCAGACAACTGGGCTTCTTATGCCCCTGAGACATGGTGAGTGCCTCTGAGCTCTTCCTGATTACTTATGACTTTGAGGATGCCTCCTCTGACCACCCTGCGCCACCCATGGCAGAGCTGCCACCTCCCTGATGCCTCCTGGGCTACAGGGGTCCCAGGGCCCGGGGTGGGCGGCAGCTCACCGTAGCCGTGCTCGTACTCTCGGCGGCGGCGGCGGCGGCGGCGATGGTGATGGTGGTGGTGGCGGCGATGGCGGTGGCGGTGCCGCTGGAGCCGGGCTTGCCTGTCCCTGCGGATGCTGCCCACGACGATGGTGATGCAGGAGAGGATGACGACCACGCCTATGACTGCGCTTGCCACCAGCACAGGAGACACGAGCAGATGGCTGTGCTCTGAGCTCTCTGAGAACGTTGGGTAGAAGTAGCTGGTGCGGTTGTATCGAGCTACTGTAGACAGAGAGAGAGAGGACGCTGAGCCGGGGCACGGACCCTGCCCCACACCTTCCTCCTCCCTCCCTGCTGCCCTGTGAGTTATTCATCCCTAAATGAGGATATTCAGGCGCTGCTCCCCTCCTCCCCGCAGGAGCCTCTGTTAGTGAGGGCTGACCTCCTCTCGCCTCTCCTCTGAAGCCTCTGGCCTAGGAGCTCAACCAACTCACAGAAAGGAAAAAGGAAGCTCAGAGAGGGCAGTGGACTTGCTCAAGGTCACACAGCAAATTAGCGGCAGAGCTGAGGCTTGAACCCACTGAACCTGACTCAGTGCTAGACAAGGACTCTATTCCACCAAGACATGAGGTTGGAAGGTCAGCATGACTTTACCAAAGACTTGGGAAGGGATGGGGGATACACAGGGGTCAGAGTATGAGGACCAGATGTGCTGGCCTCCAACACTGGCCTCCTGCCTCAGGGGCGAAACCTACCGAGGGGACTCCAGGGAAATCAGGCAGGCCTGGGGTTAAGAGCAGTAACTGACCCAGACATGACAGTGGGTTGGATCAGATCAGGGAAGGCTTCCCAGAGGAGGTGAAGCTAGGAGGTATTCCAGGCAGGGGAAGAACAAGGGTAAAGGTGCAGAGAGGTGGGAAGGGGCTTCTAGGAAGGGGTGTGGTATGGTGGGTCCCTGAGAACCCTACTAAAGGAAGCTTCTGGGGCCCATGATGGCTTTGTCCTCCCATAAGATAAGATGATAGAGCCCTGGGGGCTGGGGTCCCAGGGAAGGGTTGGAATCAGCCAGGACCATCCATGGGCACTTGCTGCCTCGCTCAGGGAGAGCCAGCACCACGTTAGGGAGCGTCCGTGACTGCCCCTTAATTCCCTCCCACTCAGCTGGGCAGGGATGTGGTTTTCCCCTTTTATAGATGTGTGGACTGATGCTCGGCTCCAGCCCACGGTCACTCAGTCACTCTGTGGTTGAGCCAAGTGAGAGCTCAGGCCCAAGCTTCAAAGTCCCGAGCTCACTCTCCATTGTCCCCTGCCCCAGGCATGAGCCCTTCCTGAGGGTGCAGGTCCCATCTCTGGACAGCCATAGGGAGCCAGCTTCAGATACTCAGCGAGCCACAGGGTCAGGGGCAAGCTTTCCTGGGCCCTGTTGTGAAAGCGGTCCCCCTGTCTCCTCCCAGAGCCTGTGTCCCAGTCCCTGTTCTGCATTTGTCACATATGATGATGCACGGTTTCCAGGGCTTGTGTTTGATCGCTTTCTGTGTCCTCGAGCTCAGCACTGGGCCTGGGCTCACCAAAGGTGCCCAAGCCACGTACTGAGTGAGTGGCTGCAGCCTTGAGGCCAGATGGGGAGGTGGCAGGGAGGCCCTGAGCTGCCTCCGGGGAATGAGGTCTCTGTCTTGAGTGGTAATCAAGTGGAGTGTGGATGGTTACCTCCCTGGGTAGTTGTAGGAGGGCTTTGTTCCCAGGTGAGGGCATGGACTTATGCAAATCAGAAGGTAGAAACTCAACTGTGGCCTCCTGTACCTTCCCATCCCTTCCCAGCACCATCTCCAAAAGCCTCTCCCACACTCAGCCCATGTCAGGGACAGGTAGGTGAAGCATGAACTTGGGGCCTTTGCCTGAGCTATGAACATGCCTTGCCAGCAGTTCTGGCCCATGCTGGTGGCTCTTGCAGCCTACTGACCTTCATTAGGAGGGGCTGGCCTCGAGGCCCTACTGCCTGGACCAGAATGTCATCCTAGCCTGAGAGCCAAGCCTTTGCTCGCTGAAGTTCATTGGAAGCTGCTCCCCTGCAGGTACCTTCACTGGGGAGAGGGAGCTTCCGTTGGGCTTTGGCTGAGTATGCGTGCTTCCTGACCCTCTAATATGAAAATGCCAGGGTAAGCAGATTTCTGGGATTCTTTGAGGGCCAAACACAGACCACTGTTTTGAGAGCCCCCACTATGTGTAGGTTCTGTGCTGAGAGCTCACTTCATCCCTGAAGCTATGTTCTCCCCATTTTATAGGTGAGAATACTGAGGCTCAAAGGTATTAAGTAACCCACCACAATCATATATAGCCAGTATATGGCTAACTGATCATCATTCTCTTCCTGTTTGGCCCAGGAGGCAGCCGCAGCATCCTTTTCAACATAGTACTTGACACAGTGGTTACCCTGGTCAGGGGACAAGCTTTTGGCCACCACTCATCTAGTCCGCTGTGCTTTCACTCCTGAGCCAATGACCAGGCTTTGGCTTGGACTAGAGCTGAGCCAGTGGTCATTCTGCTACCGTATTCTCTCTGATAAAGTACAAGCCAGCTGGCCATCCAACCGATGTCACCCTCTTCCTCTCACCTTTGAAGCCAATGGCAGGGCTTGGGAATGTCAGAGACAGCAGCCCTCCTTGGGGACGGTAGGAGTGTATGGGGTCCACATTGCTCTCAACTGTCCTGTTCGGTCTGTTCCAGCTGCTGCGATGGTTTGGGATGTGCTGGTCACCCCACGGTCCAAGGCAGATGTGCTACCAGAAAGCTGGCCATGGCAAGGCTGGAGGTGCCCAGAATGAGAACCTAGGGTTGGATTTGTGTGTGCATGCCTGCCCTGCTCAGCACGCAGAAACTGCTGCGGAGGTGCCAGTCCCATGGGGTCACCCTGAAGACGCCTCTCCCTCTCCCTGCTTCAGCAGCAAATGAGAACCTCGCTCTCGTGGCAGTGCCAGGCTCATCACCAGCCAGGTGTGGAGATGGCAACACCCATGCCTGCAGATGGAGCCAGTTGGTGCAGGCGTCCGCCTGCATGGCCAGGGGGAAGTTAATCTTCCAGTCCCTGCGACCGGCAGAGGTAGGTGCTGCTTTAAATTATGAGGGAAACTTCCAATTTCCAAATTCAGGGTCCACTTCATCAACAAGATAAAAATGACCGCAGAGAAACAACATGATGCTAGCCCCCTTTCCCACCGCTCTGCCTTGCTCTCCCCCTGCACCAGCTGTGGAAAGGACGGAGGGTAAGGCAAGCTTTGCCGCTATCCTAGACTTTCTTCCCAAGCAGCTTCTACAAGGGTGCTGATGATCAAGAGGAAATTGTACCTCAAGATACTAGGTCATCCCTGAGATGCGGCCCTCCCTCCGCATACAGCATGAGTAGCTATCATCTCCTGGACACCTACTGTGTGTCATTCACCATGCTTGGTACTTTTCATGCACTGTGTTATTTAATTCTTATGATGGTCCATGATGGGATCTCCAATTAACAGGTGGAGAAACTGGGCTTCAGACAGGTTATTTGTCCAATGTCACTCAGCCCACAGAGGGACCCGGGTCAGTGGGCAGCCAAAGCCCCATGCTGTTAGCCAAGATGCTACTCTGTGGCTACCAGGCACTGTGCACTGGCGCTCATGTTTCTGGGATCTTGCTAAAGTAAAATTTTTCTCTCCCTAAAACGGTGCTTTGCTTTTTCTGGGCCACCTTAACATGTAGTCAAAGTAGGCCATGACCTACGTCTTATTCAGGGTGAAGGTATATCATCAGCTGAAAGAACATTGCTGAGTTTTGAAGGGCTGACAGGGCCCCGCCATGAAGGTCAAATCAATAGACTGTCTTTTATCTTAAGGGTAGAGAGGAGACATGAAGGGGCGCGGTCACAGTGTTTTAAGAGCGCCCTCTGGCTGCAGAACTGGACGCAGGGTGGGGGGACACCAGCGAGTAGGCTGCTGTGAGGGTCCATGTGAGCGTGGAGCGTGAAGGGTGGAGCAGGGAGCGTGGAGGGTGGAGCGTGGAGGGTGGAGCGA